TGACCTGGACTCAGAGTCCCCGCAGGAGTGAGAGGAGGCTGGAAGTGACCCCGCCCAGCATGTGTCCAGTGTGGCTCCCCAGAAGGCTGGGAGGAGGGTGCCGACCACAGTGGCACCTGTGTCAGGCCTTGCAGCTGCTACAGCTTTGCAGTGGCGGGCACTTCTCTGTGTTTGAGCAATCCCATGCTCAAAGAAGCCCACGTTTCCAGAGCCTCTGGGAGATTCTAGAATGATCTTCTCTGACTGGTTTAAACAGATCAATGAATGACCATCTCCAAGATGATAGCGCTCTCTTGTATTTTTCAAACTCTGTGTCTTCAGTGAGTCTTAGGTTGGACTGATAATTCACCTTTCCTCATGATTTATCTTTGACAAGAGGTATGGTGAGATTGGACCTTCAGAAAGTCCAGTGTCCTTGGTCTGAGTCCAGTGGAGTGTGGAGGGAGTGGCACCCTGCTATGTGTGTCCACAGCTTCTTACTGTCATGGGAGGCGGACAGTGGACCATGGGTGTCTTTTTATAAGGACCTCCCATGCACTGATTCACAACCATTGTCTGAATACCAGCTGTGCCCTCGCGTTCTTCAGGAAGTGACCACACTGTAGTGTCAGAGCCAGCCCGCCAGCCATGGAGGGAGGCCGGGACACTTCGTGTTAGTGTTGTTGTTGTTGTTGTTGTTAAGTGCCGTTGAGTCGTAGGCAACTCATAGCAACCCTATGAACGAAAGTCCTCAACATTTGTGTGACTTTCATCCTTTCTCCAGGTTTATAGGGTTTCCGGAGGCAAGCTATTACGGAAGTGGATGCCGCTCCTGTGTTAGTGTGCTTCTCCTTATTGTACTTTGCAGATGATGCCTTTTTCACAAATGGAAGGTTTGCAGCAACCCTGCACGGAGAGTTTTCAGAATCACTTTCCCCAGAACATGTGCTCACTTCTTGTCTTCATGTCCCACTTCGGCAATTCTCTCACTATTTCCATTTTTGCCTAATGTGATTGCTTATCGACTGAAAAGTTACTGAGAGAAGACACTTTGGGCATGTTGCAAGGCAGGACCGGTCCTTGGAGAGGGACATCATGCTTGGGAGGCTGGAGGGACAGCACAAGAGAGGAAGACCCTGATGAGAAGGATTATTCAGTGACTGGGCTAATGGGGGTAGGTGTGTCGGAGACAGTGAGATTGGCTCAGGCCAGAGCAGGGTTTACTGTCCACAGAGTCGCTATGAGTTGTGGGCAATTCGATGGCACATAACAACAACAACAACAAACAGTAAGATTGCATATTTAATAGACTACAGTAGAGCGTAAATGTAACTTTTACACATGCTGGGAAACAGTGCACATGCCTCCCATTATTGCAGTATCCACTTTAACGCCCTGGTCTGGAATGGCATCCTCGTATCTCCCAGTGGAGCCTTTCAAGCAGAGCAGGGGCCAGGGGTAAGAGGCAGGGGCCAGGGGTAAGAGGCAGGAGCCAGGGGTAAGAGGCAGAAGCAGAGCAGACCATCCCGAGGACGTGCTGCTGAGCAGGGACAGAGCGGAGATGAAGAGGTGGCTGGGTGAGTTCGGGAAGGATTGCTGGACTCGGTGACACTGTGCTTGGTCTCTTTGTGCGACAAGGACGAGGCCAGCAGGGCCAGTGCTCCAGGAGAATCATGGTGGAGTGGGAAGAGGTGGGTCAGGGACTGTGGGGAAACCAGATGTTGTCTCAGTGCAATGAGTCTCCTCTCCTGACTGCTGAGACCAGGTGTTACATGTGGACTGAAGTAAGATGAAGTAGTACTGAGTGTTTACAGCAGTAGTGAGATAGAAAGTTCAGGAGCTTGTGGGAAAGAATACAAGAATCCTCCTTCACTGAGGAGAGCTTGCTCATGGATCTCAGTCATCAGGGCATAGTGACCACATGTCATTTCAGGATGTACCAGTGGTGCCAGGGACCTCTGTAAAGTCCTGAAGAGCAAAGGTGTCGGTGTAGGTGTGCCTGATCCAGTGCTGCTGTCACAGACACCACAGTGCACTGTCTCAGTCACCCAGTGATGCCGTCACAGACACCACAGTGCACTGTCTCAGTCACCCAGTGCTGCCGTCACAGACACCA